ACCGAGTCCGGAATTGATTGCTCTCGTGTCCTAACGAAACGCAGTCGATGATCCAGAAGACGGCGGTATTTTGCCCTAGGCCATAAAAATGACTCGGTCGGTTCGTTCCAGACTGAGAAAGTGTGGCAAGAAGTCGCAGAGCTAACGTTGACGAATAGAGGGGAAGGAAACACGCCAGAACCTAACATTGAAAAACGGAATGCGAATGAGTGATTTGTGAGGTGGATTTTGCATTCTCATTTCAGGGTTTAAAAACCATCAGCCGAATTATTGTATGTAATACGTATGTCAACAAATCATGATTCTCAGGTGTCAGTTCATTTTAGTTTCAGTTATATTATAGGGAGATGAAAATTGTATATATCATGAAGAATGGCTGAAAGAATAACTGGACTTCCGGTTACTGATGAGGATTTGACATCCGAAATGAGTTTATTCGAGTGAAGTCCATATAACCTGTTTGTGTGAGATATAATTCCCATATCACTGATACGAATAATTTTTTTTTTGGAAGTTCCAAGCTCATCGGGATCAGAGATCAGAGATGATGTCTATTCTCAATTTCAGAGGATATTCATTATTCATGCTCTCTTTTTGGATTTTCAACAGATATAATTCAATGTTCGACGTGACGAATAGCCAGGAAAGTAGTTGTTTTCTGTTGAATATTCAGAATGATATTATGTTCGTATCTTTATATGAAGGAGAATGCAAATTCTCTACTTCAGAAGATTTTGTTTCCAAATTCTTATCGTGTGTGTTCAGTAGATGTTATTCAATGTTCGTCGTGGCATATACCCAGGAAAGTAGTTGTTTTCTGAATGAATCGAGGAAGAATTGATATTTTCATCACATAGAGAATGCGAATTTTCAATGTATTTCATATATATCCATTTTTTTGTTCATAATTATATCAGAACATTCCTTTTCAAAGTGTATGCATGATTATCCAAATACAAAATCTTCGATTTTGAGGCCCGTGTGGTTGTGAAGCAATATAATTTGTTTCTAAAAAGGGTAGGGATTTTCGATAATCATTAATGAAACGAGTTGTATTCGTGTTTTTTGTGTTTTAATGGCTATACCAGGTGGAAAAAAATTCAAATATGAGAGTTGTAGGGTTTTATCTGTACTATATTTTGGCACTCTTTAAAGGAACAAATGCAAATCGCAAAATAGAAGAGACAGAGTCAAAATTGTGAATTGGCTCTCATTCTTCCGTTCACAACAATCAACATTTTGCTAATGTTTGCTTGAGCCGTTTTCATTTGCGATAAGTGACTTATTCACTTGTCATTGGTGACTTGTTCACTTGTCATTAGTGACCTAATCACATGGTATTTGTGACTTATTTACTCGTCATCAGTGACTTATTCACTTGTCATTAGTGACTTATTTACATGTCATTAGATGGGTACTATGAAAAATCACATATAATGTTCTCTGAAAAAAGATACCTTTGGTTAAGAGACAGAAACTCGTGCATTTGAGAATAGTAGATTGTTTTATTAGGATCAAAAATGACACTTTGTTTGACAAGCGAATTTTGCATTTGCGAGGCGGACCGTTTAGCGAAGCCGAGCGAAAGCAAAATTTGCGAGTCGAACAAAGTCACTTCTGATCCGAATGAAACATGCTATTTTTTCTGCAACCGAAACAATTAACTCAAATGAACATGTGAAGTAACCACCAATGCCGTGCCATATGTATGCAATGCAACAAATATTGACAATCCATGTGGTGAGAATATTCTACCTGCATTAACAGTAGGTTAGGTTTTCTAGGATGTTCGAATTTTAGTTTCAATATAAATACAACCACAGAATGACATATTTGTGTATGGACCAGGTGCTCTAATGGCAAATACAGCGCCAGTGCCAGCTATAGGAACAATTCGTGGAAAATGTTAGGTTAGTGAGCATATCAACAATGATAATAGTGATTATTTATTCCTCTCCATACTACACTGTGTTTGACTTAATAATCAAATGAAGCTAAACAATATCGTTGTTTGAGACAAAAAAACTATTGCTTGCCGTGATTATTCAAAAACAAGTTATCCATCCCGAGAATAACGAATGAAATACAGATCAAGCAAGTATATTTGAATCTTGAAGGCTTTCCTGATCAAAACAAAAATACTTAGCTGAGATGTTTATAATTCCAATACTAAACTATAATAAGGTGTATCTATATCTCCAGCATGGGTATGAAATGCCAAATCTGCTGAAATCGGAAACAAATCAGGTATGCGTCTTAACCCAAATAACCAACCGTCACAATGTTGTTTATTCTTGATGACGTCCAGTAGATCCTTTTTAGGAACTGAAATTCAACTTTTGCTCCTAGGAACTAAATATGTTGCCTAGCAACATACCTATTTTTGTGTCAGTAATAGAAACGTCAATTAAAGAGCTAATTTTGGTATCAGAATGGACGACTTTTGTGTCGGTTGCAGAAAAATGTATTGTATTGCTATGATGAATCAAGAAATCACAAAAAGGTGAGGCTGACGACAAATATTGAGACACTAGATACCTGGTATATCAGGATCATGGGCCGAGAAAAATGTTCCATCAGATACACTCGTATATACACACTTTTTTCTTTAGTGATGTAGATGAAAAATTGGGATTGAAATTAACTTTCGCTCATTAAAAGTAACTTTCTCCCACGTCGAGTATCATCGGAAGTAGAATATGGAATCCTGTATATGATGTCAACAATTACTTGACTTGAGCAGACTTGCATTTTCCTACTCTCATGACCAAATCTCACATTGCCGGCGAAGAAGATATCGTATAGGAGGATACCAAATGACATCAGAAGAAGAAGTAGAATTTATCATTTCCACTAACTAACAATAAATAGTTGTTCATACACAACAAGGAAGTAAAAAATATCAGTATTACCCAGGGATCAAGGTTATATCCCGAGGCTTCAGGCGTATAGCCTCGTGGTTAAAGCGTCAATGTTCTATCCACGTTGGATTACCGGTAGTGGGTTCGATTCCCACCACGACCACAAAAATTTTTCTGATGACCTGAGAAAGTGTTTGGGCTCACACGTTAAAAGGTAAGACCTCTGTCATTCCTCACTAGCACAAGTCTCTTTAAGACTTCTGTGGGTTGCTCGTAAGGGGGCAACCAAATGATGGATAATAACAATTTTCAGAACAATTTAGATGTGGACCTATTGTTACTATGAAAGCACCTCTTTCCACTTCTGATAAAAATCCAGAAGCCATGACCATAACAGCATAATTATGACAAGTCATTATTGATCATTCGAATGCCATTCTTGCGAATCTTGCATAAGAACTGTGAATTAGGACTAATTATATCAGAGGTGGCTATGATTCAATGACCATCAGTAGTTCATAAAATGACGAAAACTACCTTGGTTAAAAAAATACACTACACGCCTTGAAAAGGAGTAAATAATGGTAGGTTCTTGAGCTATATGTATAGTGGTGTAAAAAAATGTTTCTGCTCAAATTTCCAAACTGCAAACTAACATCAGACTGTCATAAGTATTGAATATGCATATCCTATATCCCCCAAGTTTATCCTCTGTATCAGAAATTCCTGATTACCTTGTCTGAGGATAATAATTGCGTTATGAGGCTGCACGGCGTTTCACCACGTCCGGATCCAGTAAATTCTGTTGTGTAAATCTAATTTAGTTAGTTCCGAAGTTATGACCCTTGTCGTAACGTGTTCTCCTCAAGTCAGCCATTTCGGGAGTTTCTCCAATACCCAAACGTCGTTAGGTAATTGAATACCATCAGTGGACGTCCGAATATGTATTTGAATGCGCTTTGATTATCGTACTACTAAAATAGTGGATACATCTTCAAACGTAGGTGTCTTTCACTTCTGCATCAATGTGCATTCAAATTATAAGTATGGGCAGTGGTATAGGAATTATTGATGAGATGTGCAATATCCAATTACAATGAAGAAAACGTTAATATACAATAATGTACAAGTAGATGAATCCCATCAGGAAATTATTCGACCACAATGGCAATGGGCTTATATCATAAAAAAATTGTATTTCATAATTCGATAGAACTCACCCAAACTAGCTCACCACCGCCAACCGTTTCTTGCTGTGAGCTCCCTACGTTTTCTAAAAAATTATTGAAATCCCCGATTTTTCGGACCTCTGAAAACGAGGCGATGATGTGACGTCAAAACCCTAATACTGAAACAAGATGATACATGATTTCTGACAGAGTGAATTAGCGAGAGATCACAGTTGAAAGAATTAATATATCAGTTGCCTCAATCTCCGTCAGGCGTTTGGTATTTTCTTTTAACTATGGCGAAATGAGGTTTCTTCGTCATAAGGGTCCGTTTTCAGAAGGTATTATCATTTATGTCCAAAAATGAAACATTCCAGTTAATTTTTCGATCGAATTATGTCGTCAATCATTATTTATGTATAAAAGGATCATTATTAACATGGTTTGAGTTGAAAGTTCTACTAAGGTGTACACGCCCATTGTATAGTTGCTGCTCAAAGTTGGAATAATCTTTGAGAGTTTTGAAACATCTTGTCGGGCGAAGCGTACTGTGATTTCAGTAACGAGATCGAACGAAGGTAGGTTGGACAAAAAAAACAAAATGGAGGCTCCAAAATGGAGGACGAGTTTGGGAATTATGATCCGATTATTTTCAAACTTGGTATCTGAGGGTTTTCGAGGTCGAAGATTGAGATTATTTCATCAAAATTGGTGTATTTAGGATGGCGGATTCAATATGGCGGATCCAATATGGCGGACGAGTTTTGTAACTATGATCTGATCATATACGTATTGATAATCGATACGGATAATCGCTATCTGTTTCCATAGCGAAACATCAAGCCGGTTTTTGAAGACAAATGACTATCCATAAGGAAAAGTGAGATACGATCAGACACATACTGCTTTATTGAAAGGCTAGTAAACGTCATTGTCCACCGAAACGCATGTCTTTGATGACTACGTATCATGCCACCAAATCCTTATGGATATTCATTTGTTTCATATTTTTGGCTTCATCCTGGCACCCGTTATGATCCGTATTGTTTATTAATACGTATATGGATCTGATACGATAATGCCTGAAGGATTATATTATGATTATATTTTGCAGATTTTTGTGGTTCAACTGCGTTGCTATTGGAGCAGTAGCAACATCAGTGATCATCTTCAGCCTGTGGGATAAATTCCAGACGAATCCGACTATCACTGGCCTGGATACTGATTTCCACAATTGGGAAGTCCCATTTCCTGCCATAACTCTTTGCCAGGAAGAACCTACGAGCAATCAAAAGATCGAAGAGTATATACAGAAACAATCGGTCAGGTGAGTGCCAGGTCAGGTTAGGAATCTATGGGTTAGGTTTCATGAGAGTAGGACTCCAGATTGACCCACTCTCAAAGGTAACAGTTCGATGTAGCGGACGACACAAGTAATGAAGTAACACACTCATTAATTCTCTCATTCTTGACAGAAGAAAAGAAACAAGAAAAGTCCCCTCCATGAAATTTTTTTATTTCTTGAATCAAAAGATACATGATCACTATCTGAAAATATTCAAAGGGAGCAGCAAGAGGTTCATGAATTCTGAGTTAAACACCCTATATAATTCCCCACCGTTGAAAAGATCTGTCGAAGAGATCTACAGAAATTTCTCACTGAATATTATAAGTAATGTCACGAAGTTCTGAATATTCGCTTCATTGCATTGCCGAGCAACACCACTAGTCCGTCAAGTCAACAAGTTAACAATGAAAGACATAATTACGAGAAGATATTCAGAATAGAGTGGTGTTTTGCTAGACTATTTTACGTTCACGGAGCATAAAAAGCATTTATTATAATTGTTTTATGCCAAACTGACAGACTTTGCTTGGCTATCCTTGGTTACATCCAGACTTTGCTTCGCTAACCATGGTTTGATCGTTGAAAACATCAACGCTGATCGACCAATCAGAATTGAAAGACAGCTGATGTTTTCGCGATAAGCACACATTGTCTTGGGCTTGTGATTGATCAGATTATGTCATGGGTGAAATAGTCTTCCTTATTTCTCAATCATTGGACGAAAAAAATAAGAGGGTTTGATCGATTCTAGAACGATTGTCGAGAGAAGGTCATGATATTGATTGCGAATCCAGGTATATTAGATATACCGCGACCTATGACAATCAATGACATTCAATTGTCATTATGGTGGTGATCACTGAAGATCAATATTTTAATCATTATCTTGGTCGATCTACTTTCGAAAATCATTCGGAATCGATCAAACTCTGTTAGTTCTGGAATCCCATATTTTCAGAAAAACAAAAGGTAAATATATTGAGTATGGTATTTTCGGAGAACTTTTCAAAAATGTCTCTGCAATGGTGAGGAAATATATAGGGGGCCATTTAGCGTCAGACCATAAGTACGGCAGAGCAAGTGAATGTGTCAAAAAATGTAAACACAACCCCCGAATTCCGTTTCTTTATCTTCAATAATGAAAAAGATATTGAGCCTCCTTGGACAATCGCCCATTATAGGGTGCTTTTTGCAATGAACAAGTTATAGGGTCAATGCTGATGCAGTGACTTCCGATTCTTAATCTGCTCAAATACAGGGTATTTATATGTTCATAGCAGATGGTGCAAGTCAATTTTTCCTTTGAAATGTCACATAATAATGATAATGGTCTTTATTCATCAATCACAAATTGAATCAAGATTGAGTGTGTTTGATATTGCATTGATGAAGGGCGAAGTCCAGCCTAGACTGTTTTTCAACAAGAAGGTAGAGGGTATTTTTTATTGCTCACTGCTGCTTCTTAAGTCAACCCGGTAGATGGAAATGTTTATATTTCTCACAATATATTTTTGATCAGATCAATTCAATATTCAGTGAAAGCTTTGTATGAAAAAGACCTCTCGAATAGCGCTGTATTATGTCTGGGCATCACTAAGATGAGTCTAAAAACAATGTTTCTTCCTTTTGTTTAGGCAACCAGTACTACCGTATTAAACATGGTCCGTTGAATACGCGTCAGGTTCATAATTCCCATGTTTGTACCCAGATCTTTTTTGCGACCTGATTCGAATCGCCTATCAATCGAATGTGTATAAAAACTAGTTCTTGCTCGATTTGAGGAAACTCTTTCGATATTTCAGACAAAGTCCCTAACTGCACACTAACATTTTTGCAATAATTGATGGTTTTTGAACCTTTTGGGTTTGTTCAACACCAAAATTCTTTGTGTTGTCGCCTGGTCAAATTTCAGGTAGGTGAAATATTGTATATGCTCATTATATTATCAAAAAAGGAATATCTGTTCACCATGTGGAAGAATTGACAGTAACTATAATTTTCAATATGTTTCAAATTTCATTATTCAGTCATTTAGTATAATACACATATTATACCCAGGTACTGATACCAGGTAAAATTTCAGATTTATTGTGAAAATAAATAAGGCTAGTCTGCATCACTTCAAATCTCTGGGATTTCATTTCTTGGACACTGAACCCGAGACAGCCAGAACCCCAATTCGTAGAATCGTAGTTCTCAGTTTAGCCATAGGCCTAAGTTTTTTTGAACATTTTGGAAATAAAGGTATGTGTCCCCTACTTAAATACGCATTCGATTCGAAACGGTTTGCCTAGATTCAAGTCTACCGAATAATATTGCTTATATCCAAAGCAAAATGGCATGAAATGCGAACTGACTGTATGTAGCTGGTTAAATACGATTGAACCGGTGATCACTTGAATTGAGACATCTGAGATTGAGACTAATTAATTATCTCATATCTCTAATGTATTCTGTGTATGTTCTATCCATATCTCGTCATCTGCAGCCTCATGAATGTCTAGACCACTCACTCTATCTTCCCCAATATCCAGCCATGAACCTGGATATCTAAACTACTCAACACTAATTTCGTCGCACACCAAAATGTAGCCCCTGTTATAATGTGAATAACTTTTTTCAGTTTGAAACAATTTGAATTTGGTTCACACTGTTCAATAGCCCAGTCCTTCAGCTATAATCTCGTACTTCATTGAAACATAAGGGTATTCACATAAAATCTCTACATGGTGTTTTCCGACACTGTGCAAAATTTCGGAATATTCGAAAGGCTCTCAAATGGTGAAAATTTTTTTTTTCTCAACTTCGACAACAGAGGCATGAAGATGATCTCATTACTTCGAGATGTTCCGCGAGTCAACTTCCTATCTCTCTTATTTACAGAGTGATCTCAAAAAATCAACTTTTTGGTTTTGCAGCCATAACTTTTTTCCACGTCAACCGATTTTAGAAATCTTAGGCTCATTTTGAAGATAAAACTTCAGATGAAGAGATCTGAATATCAGAATTGACTCAAGATGGCTATCAGAGATCTAGAGTTTTCTTGAGAGTGACCCAAATCTGGAACGCCCTCCGAATCTCGGTTGGGAGGAGAATTGAATGAAAATCAACTTTTTCTCGAAAAAACAATTCATTCTGGTTGCGTCCATATTTTCCTCGATCTCAGTAGTCAAGAATTGTGCGTGAGAAAACACAATTGAAACATGTTCTTGCAAAAACATCAAACCATTTCTCCTCTGTAATGCATGGCCCGTAACCAACGTTACAAGAATCACAATGGACTGACAAACCCGACCAGCTAAGGCTCATCATAAATGATGTATGTACCAACAACCCTATGCGGTCTCGCATTGTCATCAACGAGAACAAAGTTGTCACCCACATTCGCGTTAGATGCGGCATCGAAACTATCGAAATCTGTTTATGATTCGAAAACGACGTCTAACCTGACTTGTTAGTCACTTACTGTGATTCTTGTAACGTTGGTTACGGGCCATGCATTACAGAGGAGAAATGATCTGATGTTTCTGCAAGAACATGTTTCAATTGTGTTTTCTCACGCAATTCCTTGACTACTGAGAGCGAGGAAAATATGGACGCATCCAGAATGAATTGTTTTTCCGAGAACAAGTTGATTTTCATTCAATTCTCCTCCCAACCGAGATTCGAAGGGCGTTCCAGATTTGGGTCACTTTCAAGAAAACTCTAGAACTTTGATAGCCATCTTGAGTCGATTCTGATATCCAGATCTCTTCATCTGAAGTTTTATCTTCAAAATGAGCCTAAGATTTCTAAAATCGGTTGACGTGGAAAAAAGTTATGGCTGCAAAACCAAAAAGTTGATTTTTTGAGATCACTCTGTAAATAAGAGAGATAGGAAGTTGATTCGCGTAACATCTCGAGGTAATAAGATCATCTTCATGCCTCTGTTATCGAAATTGAGGAAAACATTTTTTTCACCATTTGAGAGCGTTTTGAATATTCCGAAATTTTGCACAGTGTCGGAAAACACCATGTAGAGATTTTATGTGAATACCCTTATGTTTCAATGAAGTACGAGATTATAGCTGAAGGACTGGGCTATCGAACAGTGTGAACCAAATTCAAATTGTTCTAAACTGAAAAAAGTTATTCACATTATAACAGGGGCGACATTTTGGTGTGCGACGAAATTAGTGTTGAGTAGTTTAGTTACTCGAAATATTCATGACGACCTCATAAACATCTCTGTCACGTATTCCATATATTGAAGGCACCGCTCGTCTTTCTAAAGACTTCCATTAGCTTTATCCGTCATCGTGCGACGTATTATAAATAATGACTCGGAGAATATTGCACTTCACAGGAGTTCCTAAGGCTGGGTGTATATTGGTTTATTTCAATCGAATGTTCGCGTTTGTGCGATATTATTAGAAGCAGATATTGCTTTAGTATAGCGATTGAGAGAGATTTAGGAGTTATTCATTTTCCAGCTATTCTTCCGGCACTATCTTGATATCAGGAAGATCATAGAATCAGTTTCCAATGATGACCTTGTTTGTAAATCTACACATGTCGACAATAAACATGAATTTCATACCACTAAACTCTATTCGTCGAATTGCAGATGATATTGATATAAAAATTCCCGATGAGTCACTCACTTCAGTTAATGAAACGAATAGTTTTGGTGTTTCATTTGATGTGGATCTGAGGTTCCAGAAACATGTCAATAAACTCATACAACGTGCATACCTGAAACATTCTGGTATTATCAACGATAGGCAATATGGCTTCCGTCATCAGAGATCAACTGGTGACCTGCTGGCTCACGTCACACATATATGGCAGTAATCTTTTGAAAAATATGGTGAAACCTTAGCCGTGGCACTTGATATCTCCAAGGCATTCGATTGGACCCCTCGCCAAGCTTCCATCTTATGCCTTGCCTCCTCAGCTATGTTCTCTGCTAGCTAGTTTTCTCTCAAACAGGTCTCTCCATGTAGTGGTCAACGCAATTTCATCTGACTCTTTTATCATAAATGCTGGTGTTTCGCAAGGATCAGTTCTAGCACCAACACTATTTCTACCTCATATCAACGATTGTTGGAAGCAACTTCATGTCCAGTACACAGCTTCGCGGATGATAGTACCCTCCATACTGACTTCTCTTCCAGAGCTCCAATACCAGCCAGGGAAATCAGAAACGAACGAGGGAGGAATGTTGACAACATAAATATGGACTTGGCAACAATTCTCGAATGCGGATCCAATAACTAGGTAGATTTCAATGCAAATAAAACACAAGCATGCCTTTCCTCTAGAAAAGCCGATCTTACTGTGCCCAACATAAGCTTGTCAGGAGTAACCATGCTTTTGAAGACATCCATTTCGATGTTAGGTATTACTATCAGCAATAACCTTCCTTGGGAAAATCACGTGAGATCAATTGCTAAAAGTGCATCCCAAAAACTTGGTTTTCTGTTTCGAGCCAGGAGCTACCGAGTGACCAGTTATATTCTGACCCATTCCAACTGCTCATATCACCGAAACTATTCAAATTATCGTTGTGCGGTTTGGACTTCTCTATTTTGATATTCTTCAAGTTTTTTGACTGGTTCACCTTCTCACCTGAACTTCCGGTTCTACCGGAAACAAACAAGCCATTATTCAGGTATATGGCAACTTTGATAACATTGCATAATCTCATCAAACCATTCCACAAGCAGTAGTTGTTTCAAAGAGTTATAACTCTGATAGTTTTCTAGGAGAACATAACTTGTAATACATTGTTAGATAGAGAAAATACCAGTCTTTCTGAATGTGCAAAAATATACAGGGTGATTCAATGAAATAATAGTTGCCCTATACCTGGATTATTGCTCGTTTGTTTCCGGTAGAACCGGAAGTTCAAGTGAGAAGATAAACACGTCAAAAAATTGAATGGTTTCAGAGATATGAGCATTTGAAATGGGTCAGAATATAACTGGTCACCCGGTATTTCACTTTCAGTCAGCTGTTTATGATCTATAAGGCACATATCCAACGTGTCCTGGAATACTGTTCCCATATTTGGAGTGGAGCACCCAAACATACCCTGAAACTGTTGAATTCTGTCCAAACAAGGGCAATTCGTCTCGTGGGTGATGCCTCGCTCACAAACTCACTCACTTTTCTGGAACACCGTAGAAAAGTTGGCGATCTGGCTCTATTTCATAGATATTTTCATGGACGATGCTCTTCTAGAATATCAACAATTGTTCCTTCCTTGGCAGTCTCCGCGAGATTAACCCGTCGAGTTGAGGCTTCGCACCCCTTCCAGGTCACTTTAGAGACCTGCAGAACATATCTTTCCAAAGACTCGTTCATCCAACGAACAGCGAGGTTCTGGAACACATTGCCAAAGAAGGTGTTACCGAGGCATGTAACCTCCAGAAATTTACGAAGAACACCAATTCCTACCACATTCCCCTTGGTTCTCACGATGTTCTCTGAACATTACATGATATTCCTTTTCGTGGGAACCAGAACATAAAAAATATATATTCATCTATAAATCTCATATATTTATGGCAATCGAAAATGTTTGACAATCACAGTGGCATGTATATTGAGTGAATCACTTGGTTTATCCTTATTCAACTAAGCCGATACCCTGTATGGCCCTAATTTGACTTATAAATATAAAACAAAATTCCAAAAGAACAAAACTCTTGTCTGCGATTGATTTATGGGATCAGAAAGCGTGAAAGTATTTCACAGAAGTTATTCCAGGCAGGCTGGTTGAATATGGAAATCAGAAGGCTTCTTCACGATGCTTCTTTATTCCATAAAATCCTCACAAGAAAAATGCCATCTTATCTGCATCGAAAGGTTACTCACAGAACGGATGTGCACAACTTGAATATCAGATTCACGCAGGGTACTCTCACACCACCTATCTTCAGAATACAAAAGTTCACACGTTCATTCAGCTATCGAATCACCAAGGTCTACAATTTCATTCTCCATCATATCTAAAAAGATGAGCTCAATGTATTCAGAGTAAAACTGAAGAAATACTCATTTGAGAATCAATGAGAAAATGTAACTGATTTTATTTTCTTTCCCAATTTCCTTTTATTATTATTGTACCTTATTAATCGAGATAGACATTTTTTGTTTTTCTTCTTATATTTTTTCCATCGGTTATTTTGTTTGTATTCCTGAATATACCTTAGGAGACATTTTTTTGGATTAAGTGGAAGAACAACATTAAGTGACGTTTTCGGATAATGAGCTGAACTTCGCCCTTAATTTTCACTTTATTCAATTTGTTATTTCACTCATCGTAATTATTTTGAAATAAAAAGACCATTCATTATTATCATTATCATCATTATTCTTGATTCTTCTCGAGTTTTTCATCTCCTGTATCTCAGACACTATTCATTCTAGACAAAAAATGATAGCTCTACGAGTATAAGAAAATGTTTCGACTATACACGATTTTTTTCTTTCATTTGACCTTTTTTGGCGTTCGTTGATTGATATTTGAGTAAACTTGTGATCCTGAAGTTCATTTGGTTGTTGCTATGGGATCCCTGAATATTGGTTATCTGCGGTTAGTGTCCAAAGTTTGACATGGCTCAGAAGGTACCCACTGAATTACTACTGATAATAAATTCCTTCACTATACATTACATTCATTTCGATTACAGAAATGGTAGTGATGACAACCAAATCGAGTTCTTCAAAGATTTGACGAAATTGTCTTACGATTCCTGGGCTAGGTTTACCACCAAATATTCGACTCAGGGCTACATTGACTTCAATACTAATCTAAAAGATCTCGTTTTCAATGTAAGTCGAATCAATTTTCCTGATTTTACCAGAATAACCTTCGTATACTCCGAAAGGTGTTCCTATCAATTTGTGTCCGATAATAAAACAAAACTAAGTTGATGTGAAATTTCAATTATCAAGTTCTAAATTTCCATCATAGGAGCTCATGCTCTCAAAATGAATGTAAATTCTTCTGTACATCAAAATAAAACATGACACTTTTCTCGAAAAATGTTCGTTCTACAACTTTCTAACAGGAATACCTTCTTCATATAAAAGTGTTCGGAGAATCATATGCTGGTAAAAGAAATGAGATGAATCTCGAAACAAAAAAAGTTGGTGCATTTTTGTAGTATTGGTTACGAGTTTCACACTTCCCTGTATAATTAATCATGTAATTCTTAGTACGATCGGATTTGTGATATTGAATTGCCCTGAGATATCAAATTTCGAGATTCTAGGATCAATGAAAACGAAGATAATTGAATAAAACTGCATTCAAGGACCTACCTTCAAAGGGCTCTAGCTCCCTAAGGAAGCATTTTTGGACACATGTAAATGGATTTTTTCAAATATTTTCATCTATAGAATTACCTCCTGTAGTATACGAACATTATTTTGGTACAGTGTCATTCATCAAGTTGGCATCATATGGAATGAACTTTCAATAATAATTCATTTTGAAATATGACTTGGGCGTTGAGTTTTGCTTGAAAAATTATGAAAAATGGCCTTCTCGGTTGGAATCACACGTGACTTTCGCTACATGTCAAAAGATATATTATTCCAAAATATTCACTGAAAATAGTCTTATTTCTTCAAATATTAAAATGGTTAAATAGGTAAAGTGATTCGATCATATTTTGATAGATGCCTTTGGCATCATTTTAGTACTGAATAGATCAATTGAAAGTTGGGAACATGATGAATCTACTAGAATTAAATATATTTTTGTCAACAGAAAAAACACAAGAGCTTTTTTTATCGGATGAATTTCTCTTGATAACAAAACACATTTGCCGATCAGTAATTCCACGAGAAAAACTGACTTGAGAAAATTGCGAGACCGTAGGTCGAGCAATTTTGTCTTATGTCAGTTATTCGAGAGAAATAACTGATGGAAAATGTTCGAGTTGTAAGGAAATTTATCCAATTGAAAATAAAGCTCGAGTATTTTTTTGTAAGATAAATCAACGACAATATACAAATAAACAACAATAATGATTACCTTCATTGATAATTCCGTGTAACTGGTAGTTTGCGGAATAGATTTTCTCATATGATCGTGGTTTCTTCAGACGAAATTTTCCTAAAACGGCTCATCTTGCTAATTTACACGACAGAAATTGGAGTGACATCAGGCGCAAATAGCTACTAGATCAAAGGAGCAGGCAGTTTATCAGCGATAAAAAAGGTCAATCCTTTTTTATCGATGTCAAAATGACTCACGTCGTCGTCAAATAGCGTTGTCCGTGTAGGAGTTGATTTTTTGGTGTTTAATTTTTTCATCTCGTAGAAATGAACTAAATGCCAGAAACTGAAAGTTTTCATAAAACGTTCAAATTCTAGAAACATATGTTAAATTGGAATAAAAACAACTCTTCTCAGTGAACTTTCTTGAAATCAAGAAACAAATAAGCCTATTTTCAGCAATTAATTTGATCGAGTAGTCCATTTTTCATGCCCATTGTTTTCAACCATCCCGAAATAACTTTTATTTTTTCAGTTGACTTACAAATGCGAGGAAACATTCGAGTCCTGTACCTGGAAATCCTACCCCTATAATTGCTGTGAGGGATTTTTTCCGGTCTTCACGGAAAACGGCTTTTGCTACACTTTCAACTCAAGGCATTATGAAAGAAAAATTCCGGGGTAAACTTGAAGATTCATTTTGAAGAGGGGTGACTGGAAATTATACTGCCGAATACAGTATGATCCAGTTTTTATTTCGAGTTTGGAAAATTCAGAAGATTAACCTAGTAGTATTCGATGAGAAAAAGAGTCTACAACACTTGTCTGAGAAGGCTTCGTCATTATGTGTGAAATGCTCTGGCAGATTCTGATGACATTTACATAATTTTTCGATATTAGTTAGCTCTCTTCATAAGAAAAAAAATCTGGGTGGAGCAATCTGAAATGCATATCACTTTGGCTTCTGAAATTCGTATCGCACGTTATTCAACCTATGAAAAAAAACTACTACAAACGTTCCAAAGCGTTTTTGAAATGTTGGAAGGATATTCAGGACACAACAAGATAGTTTCAAAACCTTTGTACAGAGTGCATTATAGACCTATTAGGAAATACGGGAAATTGAACTTGACAACCAACGAAATGAGAAGATATAGGGTGTTCTTTCAAAAAATATATCAGTTTGTGACGTATATCTTCAAAATCAAACTTCGTTAAAGAAATCTGAGTACGCCTCTGGATTCTGCGCAGAATTCTTTGTAAAGACGGGAATATTTTTGCAAAAAATGGCCGTCTTGAGTTTTACGAAAAGACGAACATCAGTAGGTCGTAGTTTTCAACAACTTTAAACAGAAAATTGGCTAATAATTTGCAACAAAGACACAGACAGAGTTTTTTGCGGTCTGTAGCAACACAGTGTAATTGTTGGATATAAAAAATTCAATGCGAGTTCAGTAGCCTATTGATAAGTTTGCACTTTACAGAATTATAGTTATATTAGATATTTCCTGTTGTGCTCAAATTGAAAATCATTATGGAGAAGTTTTGGAACGTTTTTTTTTTCTCAAATTGTTTCATTGCTAGTTTTCCCATTTGGAAAATATGAAAAATAAAAAAAATCACTTGGTGATGTATTTTAGCAAAATTTTGACCAACTTTCTCTGTGGACGAATCTTGAAATTATATAGGAATAGAAAACTATACAGGGTGGGCCACCAGTAACGCCTCGGTCTCTAGAAGGCTAACCACTCATCTTCTTGGAATTCTTCCTCTCTAGGAAGTTGCATGTCAACATAGGCTACCATTTAAAATTATTTCGAAACATACAGGGTGTCTTCAAAAACCATAAAACACTGAAGTTAAACTTTTTTCTATCGAACACCCTATATATTATTCCATTTTGAGATTCTCCCTGATGAGCTGATTTCAACGACCCATCATACTTGGGGTCTAGCAGTTATAATTACTGAAATATAGTGTATGAAAAATCGAGATTTTCCAAGTTCAAGAATTTTTTGTGTCGGAAACTATTCATAATTGGTCAAAACGGCTTACATGTCTCTATCTCAACTTTCGATTAATTATCTACTGATATTCAATTGGGACATATACCGGGTGATCAAGATTCTGAATTCTGCACCACCCTGTATTTGTTTCAATTAAATGTCAGTAGATAGTTGATCAAAAGTTGAGATAGGGATATGTGAGCCGTTTTGACCAATTATGAATGGTTTAGACACAAAAAATCCTTGAACTTGGAAAATCTCGATTTCTCACACCCTATATCTCAGTAATTATAACTGCTAGACCCCAAGTATGATGGATTGTTGAAATCAGCTCACCAGGGAGAATCTCAAAATGAAATAATATATAGGGTGTTCGATTGAAAAAAGTTCAACTTCAGTGTTTTGTGATTTTTGGGGACATCCTGTATGTTTCAAAATAATTTCAAATGGTAGCCTATGTTGACATGCAACTTCCTAGAGAGGAAGAATTCCAAGAAGATAAGTGGTTAGCCTTCTAGAGACCGAGGCGTTACTGGTGGCCCACCCTGTATATAATGTAAAAAAATTAGGAAGAGCTTTTTGGACATAGCCCAAAGAATTAGTCAACCGCAGACAAGTATTTCGGGCTCTATGCCCTCATCAGTACGCTGGAAAAATGTGTAAAAAATTGGCAACACTTGGTGGAAGACGAAACAACAAATCGACAGAGTCAACAAACAGAAGCCAGCCGCACAATAATTTTTTCCTCCGATTGGCAGCAAATATTAATTTTGCTGACACATATCAATCAGCAAAGTATTACTTTTCCTGCCTAGGCAGCAAAGTGGTTAGTTTGCTGATTGATATGTATCAGCAAAATCAATAATCCATAAATCGTTTATAATCTCCTTCATATTTCATCCAAGACTTCTCCGGCAACAAATTCAACTCTATATTTTTTGCCACCTCCCTTCACTTCCAGGTCGCTATCACTTTCCATTATATAATAATTTAAATATACCGATATATTTCGCACAACTGTCAGAAATTTCATGAATTGTCAAACTATAATTATTATGGACATTTCCATAGCATCCAACCATTCCAATAACTGAGATTTCGATCAAATTTTATTTGAATTGAACACTACAGGAAAAATAAAGAGATATATATCATTATGAACAATCGGAGAAAAAATTATATGTTCAACTCGGCAGCAAAATAGATTGACTGCCTTAGCTGGATTCCTAGCCTCGCTACGCTCGGCTATGAATTCAGCCTCGGCAGTCAATCTACTACTTTGCTGCCTAGTTAAACAAATAACTATGGTTTAGGTCAGAAGACCTTTCATTTTCGCACGTGTCTGCGGTCAACTCTTTCTGAAAGCTATGTCCAACAATCTCTTCCTAGTTTGCTCAAAATAGTTCCCTCAATATTCCTTCCATCTTAATTATAATATAAAGAGTACTTCTTTGAATGTCGAAAAATCGAGCGAAATATTTTTCATTATCCATCACCATATCGTTATTGATGGTAATTGAACAGAAATAAAAATGGCAGCAAATTGAATTCAATTTTTTGTTGTTGAAGTAGTAATAAATTCGCTATCAATTACAGACGAATCAATTCGAAAAACCGTTGTTATCGTTGCAAAACTAATCCATTTTAGGCACACGACAGATCAAGACGGCCGTATTTCTTCTCAAGTTTTAATAGAAATTCCCCTGGAATAGAGGAAATGGCCAAACCGGAGTATAATTCACATCGGTTGATCGAGCTATCCCCAATTTTAAGTCCCACAGAAATGCTCTGAACTTATTTTTCAATTGGGTCACTACCCAGTCAAATTACAAAATCAATATTATGACTATTGATTTCATAGGGTTTCTGATTCGATGCATAATTCTTTATACAGGGTATATCTATACAACACCGAAAAAAACTAAGGGGGTGATTCTGTGATGAATCTCTCATGTCATCGAGCAGAAACCTTGAAACCAAATCAGTTTGATGTTATGTGGGTCAAACTCGATAGCCAGAAACAGTCCAGATATCTCTGGTGAAAGTCCATCGTTTCCTAAAGTGGAGTTCAGTGGTTGATACTGAATGATACACAAAGTATATATAAAAAATGGAAAAATCGGTCTAGAACAAAATGTTTTGAAAAATTAAAATTGAGTTGCTGCCCTTAGTTTACACTTTTTCTAGTTGTATTTCAGAAAGCATTAATTGTATTTCGGAATAGTCAATTGAATTTCTGAAAGCGTCAATTATTTTCCAGAATACTCAATTGAATCTCAGGAAATAACATTATGGAATACAATTGACGTTTTCTGAAATAGAATTGTTTGTCCAGAAATACAATTGACACTTTCTGAAATACAATTGACTATTCTGAAATACAATTGACGCTTTATGGAATTCAATTGAATATAGTGAAATACAATTGATACTTGTTTTCATTTTGAATTGACTCGGCCGTTACTTGATGGAAATCCATAGTAGGTAATGATATGTATTCGCTATCAACCCTTTCAAGTTTATCCGGTACACCGTATTTTAATGTAGATATAGTAAATCAGAAGTCTCAAGCCCAAGAAATTCCAAACACTGCGTCTTTCAATTCATACCACCTGAAACCACCAAATAGCAAGAATTCATTAGGACCTGATGTTCATGAAGTACCATCAACGAGTCAGAACGTAATGGAAAATACTTCTGATCATCGTGTTTCTGAATGGGAACTATATAGGAATCGAGGAAGTTGACAACAGTCTTGCACAAATTATGTCAGATGGCGAGTAGAGCATGAATTTGAGAGAATAGAGCAATCAACACAATATCAGGCGAAATGCACTGAGTGTAGTTTGTCTATGTTTCCTACTTAGTTTCCTACTTCAAACCATTCACAAAATTCACAAAGTGAACACTGTAAACAACAAAAATGGGGTTATGTTAATCATGTTGATGACGTTCTTCTACACTTTGCAACACTGCCAATGAGCACTAGCCAGGATATTCTTAAAGCTTTATAGTTTCATGAAGGCATTATCCTATAACCTTCTTAAATCAATCTTATCATTTTCGAAGCTTTGTTGTCATACTCAGGAGCAAATAGTCATAAGAATGGATTTGAATATGCAAGGAGTACTTCAACAGGAGGAAATCGCCTCATAAAATGCCTTATCATTACCTGAAGGTTTTAATCAAGCATAAGAGAAAGAAAATTGGTTTTAAATATATTTTTTCTACAAACGTCAAAAAATGACAAGGTTCGCGCATTGATAACAAATTGCGAAGTGACACTTTTTTTCAGTTTCCTACGTTACCATGATACCTTGCACAAAACAATGCGCGAAGTAAAACAGTGCGCGAAGTACCTACTTCGCGCATTGTTATGTAAAATATATGAGATATTTATATTTCAACTTTATGGTCCTCAATCGAGCAAACATCCACGAAATCATTCGTTCCTGGATGTTCAACAATAACTTTGTTTTATCTCTTGGAGCGCACGAAAGGAAATTCCTATTATGTTCGTGGAACATCGTGCCTATCTAGGGAGGATAGGGGGAGGCCTTTGAAGCCAGTTCAACACTATTTTTTACATCAAGCTAAGCATATTTTCACTTTAGAACTATATTTTTTGACGTTTGTAGAAAAAATGTTGTTTGCAACTCGAGCGCGAAATACTTT